TCCCCTCTCAAGAGGGTTTCCTGTTTGAAGATCACACCATTCAGGGGTCAGCCCTGAGCACACTTCCAGCAGTATCTCCCAAGGTATGTGAAAGGGACCACTGGTGTTTAAACATGGTGAGCCATACCATTCTGAGCAAATATGGTTTCCAAGAGGTATGCAAGTCTATCACTAAGGTTTATAACTAGAACCTGGCCTAGAGTGACTGAGGCACACACGAAGGTATCAGAATCATGACATCTAGAAATGATGCAGACTGTCAGGCACTCTCCATTATGGGGGGGAAACTATAAGACTATTTTGCTACCATGTCTGAGTGAAGATTTAGATAATAATACAGGATTTACAAAATGGGAATAATTAACAGAACTAAGGAAGTAGGTCTCAAAAGTCCGCCCTGAGATTTCCTTCTGAAAACAAAATGCAAGTGAATTTTATTTATAATGTATGTAAGCAAATAGCACCACCTAGAGTACTCTTCTGGTAACTTCATCGAACAAATTATTTGCAAAATATTTATTTGCCAGTTCTTCTAGATAAAAGTTGACTCTTTACCGCATTTGCTTTTTATCTTCTTGTTTAATCAACCAGTCTGACACATGAAATATGATGAGAATTCTAGTTTATTTTTTCCCAATCTGATGGAATAATTCAGATAAATTCAGCTTCAGATAAATTTATCAAAACTTAGGTTTGATTTTACTTTTGAGCTGTTTCCATTCTGTTTTCAACAACAAGCAAAAGAGATGGCGAGTTGTAACTTCACTTCATCCTAACATATATTAGGTATCTTCAGGAAGAAGAACTCGGTTCTAGGTGCAGGGGTTCCAGAGGACAACATACGTAACTCAGTCTCCTTGAGAATTAGCTCTAGGCGACCAATCCCCATCATACACAGAATCAGTAAAATTTCTACATTTAGTTACAACATTTTGGGTTATAAATAGGAAAACAGCATAGAATCGGCTTAAGTCAAAGGGAAATTTGTTATCAGGATTCAAAGATGACTCACAGAACCTGGGGGCAGAGATGTAACCCAAGCTCAATAACCAATTGGAACCAAAGACTCAATTGCCCTAGGAAATCTTTCTCTTTCATGGACTCCGCATGTGTGTTTTGCTGTCTTTCTTAGTGGGCTGGACTTCTGTGCTCCTCAGAGAACAGAGAGAATGTGTCTTCAGAGATGCATTCACATCTGCCCTGTTTAGGAGACTAGCTAGACTGAGAGAGAGTGGGAAGATGGAGTGGGGGAGGGCGGAGTGACCAGCCCAATAGGTCAGGTTTCATACAATTCACATTTTAGGGAACATCTAGTCTAGTAGTGCTTCTCTCTCTCTCTCTCTCTCTCAGTTTGTAAGATTACATAGACACGCTTTTATGGCCATTCATGCAATCCATAAGTATACAGAGGAAAACACCAAAATATCCTCATAACTCCACTTCTCTCCACCAGGAATAACCACCAGTAACAGGTTTATATGCTTCCAGTTTGCTTTCTATGCACCCATATCTACCTATATATCTATATATCAGTAGACTTTGAATAAAGCAGTTTACCCTCCATAATGTGGCAGGCTTCATCAAATCAGTTGAAGGTCTTAAGAACAAAGAGGCTTCCTGAAGAAGAAGCAACCCTTTACAACATAGAAACCCTGCCTGAGTTTCCAGCCTATATAGTTCAGACTCAAGACTGCAACATCAAATCATCCCTGAATTTCCAACCTGTCAGAATGCTCTACAAATTCCAAACTTGCCAACCCCCATATCCTATTGGTTTTATTTCTCTGGAGAAATACAAATTTTGTACTCAGAGTGATTTTAGAGAAAAAGAATCCTAAGGTTGGATTTTCTGAATTGGTTCTGGGATTTCTATAATTGATTCTCTAATTAGATTTAAAGGCACTGGTGACTATTTCCAGTAGTAAAGAGAGTGCTGAGAGTCCATGGCATGATGTGGCAGATATGACCATTGAATATTCCTAATCAAATACTAAGAGGCAAGATCTTGTAAGACCTTATATTTGATACTTTAGAACACTTTGTCAAACTAATGAGTATAATGAGATTGGCTGGTTGCTCCTAATTGCACTGGGCAAAGTAGGGAAAGAAAAGAGCTCAGGAATGTGAAATCCCAGCTCAAGTACTTAAAAGTTTTCTATGTCTGCCCTGAAAAATATTTATCTCCTGTGGCTGCAGAACTGAGATTGCTGAAAAACAAACCTAGAGTTTCATCCTGAGATGGCTGAATTAAAAGAGTAGTGGAATTCCTAATCTCACAGGTTGTCGTCTATCATTAAAATGATGCATTGATCAGAAAGGAATGGGATCCTGAAAATTGGAATTGGGAGCATATGGGAAGATCCTGATGAAATGGAACATTGACCCTGAATTCTGCTAAGTCTTCTTGTCAGTAGAAGCGGCCACTCCACCTCAATCTGAGATTAATGCTGCTTTGCCTGAGGAAACTGTAATGGCCTTCTTTATAGAAGTTATCTTGCAAGACAGTGCTGATTCTCCTCAAGACCCACCCCCACCCTGTTCTTTGCTTCTAAACTTATCATCTGTCTCAAATCCCAGCAAGGCCCTGAAGGTGAAGTATGAAGTGTAACCCATGAGGTGCACTACACTCCAAAAGAACTACATGATTTTTCCTATTTATCCAGACAGAAATCCAGAAAATATGTGTGGGAAGAGATATTGAGAGTGTGGGATAATGGTGGAAGGAACATAAAGTTGGATCAGGCAGAATTTATCGATATGGACCTCCCCGCCCCCCAAGCAAAGATTCTAGATTTAATGTTGTAATTCAAGGGATTAGAATTGTCTCTAATGAGATGTTCCATTGGTTGGACCAAAAATGTGGCCTACACTAAATGTGATTGAAATGCCAGAATGGCCTTGGTATATTTAGAGGAAGGTATCTGAAGGCCTAGGGAGATGAGCATGTTAGAGTGGATTTATCATTTAAGACCTGCTCACCCACCCTGGGAGCATCCAGAGAACCATGACTATGAGAAATAAATTTGTGAGGGGGGTGCTCTAGCATCCTTGAGGAGCTCTTTAGCCACCCTCCTCTGTATATTAGAAATTACAGTGGGAGTTGCTGCCACTAGATTGGGAAACCTAAATTCAATGGGGATTTTGGATCCCAAGGGGTTAGGGGTCAAGTGGCGGCACTTAGTCACCAAAGGAAAGGTAGGCATGGTTACTGTGATGGACGGCAGACTCAAAGCAACTACTGAAATAGTCTGACTGGGCCGGCCGAGTGGCGCGATGGTTAAGAACTGGCTTGGGACGCCAGAGGGCCCCGGTTCGGATCCCACATATGAGGGCCAGTGACACTGCCCTCCACAGCTAAGATGCTGAACAACAGCTCAACCTGGAGCTGGGCTGCCATGAGTCGCCGGCGACGGCGTGGGCTGCAGTCCCTGTGGCAGTGGATTGCCATGGGCTACCGTGTGTGGCCAGCAGCCAGCGTGAGCAGCCAGCAGCCGCAGTGAGCGGCCGTCCAGAAGCCGGCGACTGATCTGCCTCGCCAGGGAAGAGCGCAATGATGGTGCCAACTTGGGCCAGTGAAGCAACGTCCTCCACAACTAGATTGAAGAACAAAAATGACAGCAACTTGTATGTTCCCCTTCACCCAGTTCCCCAGCACTGTTCCCATCCCCCAATTCCCCAATAAAAATCTTTAAAAAAAAAAAAAAAAAAAAGAAATAGTCTGACTTACAGAGACTTATAGCATTAGCTAGTTGATCATGGTGTCCGTAGACATGAAATAGATGGAGTCTATTAAATATTTACTTGATCTGTATAAGCAGAAGTGTTATAGGTCACTGAACAAAAGTCTAATGGAATTTTAAAAAAATAGAGTCAAGGCCCCTCAAACAATCCTGAGACTTGAGCCAGTTCACAGACCCAGAATCCCTTGAATAAAAAGGAGGCCAGATCCCCTCAAGGAAAGACCCTGGTACATTGCCAGAAATGTATACTGTTAATCTTTCTCCCAGCTTTCCATAAAGAGACCTACAGCCTATTACCAGGGTGACTGAGCATTGGGAAAAAGGAAATAATCAAACTTTTTGTAGATTGCTGGACATTGGCTCTGAACTTAAATGATTTCAAAAGACCCAAAATGTCACTGTGGTCTATCAGTCATAGTATGGGCTAATGGAAGTTGGGTGATATATGGAGCTTTAGCTCAGGTTCACCTAACAGTGGATCCAGTAGGTCACCAAACCCATCTTGTGGTTATTTCTAGAATTCCTAATTGGAACAGACATACTCAGCACCTGGCAGAATTCCCACCTTGGTTCCAGACCTGTGGAGTGAGGGCTAATCTGGTAGGAAAGGCAGATGAAACCACTAGAACTGTCTCTGCCTAGCAAAATACTGGGGGTGCCAAAAAAATGTATACGAGTGGACACTTTGGTCAACGTTGCTCAAGCAGTAGTTCACCATAATCAGAAGTGTCTGGATGCTGATGGTAACTGCTTTGAGCACCTCTTGCAATTGCAGAAACCAAGCATGACTTGTATTCATCTTTTGTTATCAGTACATATTATTATAATTTTAATACAATTTTCCTTTCTTAAAATGTGTATACATTTTTTTGGCACCCTTTGTAGTAAAGCAAATACAATGCTGCATTCCTGGAGGCATTGCAGAGATGAGTGCCACCATCAAGGACTTGAAGGATGCTGGGACGATGGTTCCCACCACATCCCCATCCAACTCGCCTTTCTGGCCTATGCAGAAAACATGGATCATAGCGAATGCCAGTGGGTTATCATCAACTTAACCAAAGAGTGACTCCAACTGCAGCTGCTATACCAGAGGCAGTTTCATTGCTGGAGCAAATTAATACATCGCTGTTACCTGGTATGTAACTACTGATCTGGCAAATGCCTTCTTTTTTGTGACACCTATTAGGAAAGACCACCAGAAGTAGTTCACTTACAGCTGGAAAATTCAACAATACAACTTCACTGTCTTACTCTTACTTGGGTATGATAACTCTCCAGCTCCGTCTTAATTTAGTCCATATGGATCGCCTTCCTCTTCCACAGGACATCACACTGGTCCATTGCATCGACATTATGCTGATTGGACCTAATGAACAAGGAGTAGCAATTACTCCAGACTTACTAGTAAGACATTTGCATGTCAGGGTGGGAACTAAATCCAACAAAAATTCAGGGGCCTTCTACCTCTTTGAAATTTCTAGGGGTCCGGTGATATGGGGCATGTCGTGATAACCTTTGGGAGGTGAAGGATAAGTGGCTGCATCTGGCCCCTCCTAAAACCAAAAGAGAGGCACAACCCCTGTGGGGCTCTATGGATTTCAGATACGACATACTCCTCATTTGGATGTGCTACTCTGGCCCATTTGCCAAGTGACCTGAAAGCTATTGTTTTGAGTAGGGCCCTGACAAGAGAAGGCTTTGCAGTAGGTCCAGGCTGCTGTGCAAGCTGCTCTGCCGCTCGAGTCATACAAGCCCAGGAGATCCATCGGTGCTTGAAGTGGCAGGGCATTTGGGATGCTGTTAGGAGCCTTTGGCAGACCTCTAAAGGTGAATCACTGTGCACAACTTCAGGATTTTGCAGCAAAGCTCTGGCTTCCTACTCTTACTATGGATAACTATTCTCATTTTGAGAAACAGCTTTTGGCTTGCTGCTGGCCCTTAGTAGGGCCAGCACATTACCATGCTCCTGAGTTGCCAATCATGACTGGGTGTTATCTTTACCCAGCAAGATAAAATTAGGCACTCCATCATGAAATGGAAACAGCGTATATGAAATTGGGCTTGCCCAGGCTCTGAAGGCATAAAAGTTACGTGGGGAAGTGGCCCAAATGCCCATGCTGGGGATTCCATTCTTTCTACATTATCTTCTGTCTCCCAGCCTACACAGATGGCCTCATGGGAAGTTCCGTACAACAAGTTGGCTGAGGAAGAGACTGTACAATATACAGGCATCACCCAAAAAGTGGACAGCAGCAGCACTACAGTTCCCTTCTGGGACATCCCTGAAGGACACTGGTGAAGGTAAATCCTCTAGTGGGCAGAACTTCAAGAAGAGCGCCTGTTCACTTTGCTTGGAAGAAGAAATGATCAGATATACCAATTCATGAGCTATGGTCAATGGTTTGGCTGGAGAATCAGAAACTTGGAAGGAATGTGATTAGAAAATTGGTGTCGGGCCGGCCGAGTGGCACAATGGTTAAGAACTGGCTTGGGACGCCAGAGGGCCCCGGTTCGGATCCCACATATGAGGGCCAGTGACACTGCCCTCCACAGCTAAGATGCTGAACAACAGCTCAACCTGGAGCTGGGCAGCTGTGAGTCGCCGGCGATGGTGTAGGCTGCAGCCCCTGTGGCAGTGGGTGGCCATGGGCTACCGTGTGTAGCCAGCAGCCAGCATGTGCGGCCAGTGGCCGTCCAGAAGCCGGCGACTGATGTGCCTCACCCGGGAAGAGCGCAATGATGGTGCCAACTTGGGCCAGTGAAGCAACGTCCTCCACAACTAGACTGAAGAACAAAACGACAGCAACTTGTCTGTTCCCCTTCCCCCAATTCCCCAGCACTGTTCCCATCCCCCCAATTCCCCAATAAAAAAAAAGTCTTTAAAAAAGAAAAAAGAGGGAGTTATGGTGCTGGCTGGGCAATTAGTCTGACTACCAAGAGGAATTGGACTGCTACTCCAATGGAAGTAAGGAAGAGTGTGTCTGGAATATACCTCTATATATATCCCTTAGGGCATCTAAAAGGATAAAGTTTTATCTCTACTCACAACACTTTGGACACCAAATGTGTGGATTTTCCACACTAAGCAATTCTGACACTAACTACCCAGAGTGAGTGCAGACCCCACAGTTTAAAACTCGGTCACACAAGACTGCCTCTCCTTCAGATACCAGTAGTCAGTCCCAGGTTGTCACCTGTACTTTTGACCAACCAAGTATAAATCAAGGTTTCCCAAAACTCCCTCCTTAGGTTCAATAATTTGCTAGAATGGCTCACAGAACTCAGAAAAACAGTGTACTTACTACTACTGCAGTCTTATTATAAAGGAAACAACTCAGAAACTGCCAAGTGGAAGAGATGCATAGTTCAAGGTATGGGTGTGGGGGTGGGGGAATGGGTGTAGTGTCCTCCCCAGGCTTGTCACCCTCCCAGCACCTCAATATGTTTACCTACCTGGAAGCTCTCCAAACCCTGTCATTTAGGGTTTTTTGGAGGTTCCATTACATAGGTATCATTGGCCATTGCTGATTATCTCAATTTCCAATCCCTATCCCCTCCCCAGAGATCAGGGGTGGAGCCGAAAGTTCCAACCCTCTAACGACATGGTTGGTTCCTCTGGTAACTATCATAGTTTCATTTATAAGATTACTTTAAATTTTTCTTATTTGTAAAAATATATTTATGGCTCCCAAATAATTTTTAAATTGTTGTGAGGGACAGGATTGGCTCTTCCAGGGGTCGGCAAACTTTTGAGATGGAACGTACTCAAAGAGCCGCATGTGGCTTGCAAGCCGCAGTTTAGGTGGATGTGTATAGGTGCCATGCCAGCAAGAAGTAAACTGTGATGGTTTATTTTGTGTGTCAAACTGGCTAGGCTATGGTTCCTGGCCGTTTGGTCAAAACCAGTCTTGATGTTGTTTTAGAGGTACCTTTTATTTTTTTTTAGATTTTTATTGGGGAATTGGGGGAGGAGAACAGACAAGTTGCTGTCCTTTTGTTTGTTAGTCTAGTTGTGGAGGACATCGCTTCACTGGCCCATGTTGGTATTGTGATCATTGCGCTCTTCCTGGCTGAGACAGATCAGTCGTCAGCCATTGGACAGCGGCTAATGGCAGCTCTCATCGGCTGCCAAGTGCTCACGCTGGCTGCTGGCCCCTCACAGTAGATTACGGCAGCCCACTGCAGCACCACTGCAGCCTATGCCATTGCCGGTGACTTACGGCAGCCCAGCTCCAGGTCAAGCTGTTGTTCACCATCTTAGCTGTAGAGGGCGCAGCGTCACTGGACCTTGTGGGATCAGAACTGATGGCCCTGCTGCTCAGAGCTCGTGCTCCCAAGCCAACTCTTAACCAAAGAACCACTCAGCCGGCCCTAATGGTACCTTTTAGATATGACTAACATTGAAATTAGTAGACTTTGAGAAAAGCAGATACCCTCCATAATATAGGTAGGCCTCATCCAATCAGTTGAAAGCATTATGAGCACAATTAGCTTCCTGGAGATGAGGCACTTCCCCTCCAAGCTGTAGTATAGACACTCTGCCTGTGTTTCCAGCCTCCTGTCCTACAAAATTCTAATTCAAAACTGCAACCTCAACTCTTACCTGAATTTCCAGCCTCCTGGCCTATCCTACAGATTTCACACTTGTCAGCCCCCACAATCATGTAAATCCATTTCTTAAAATCTCTCTTAATATATATAACATATTGACTAATACAGCATTCAAAAAATTAATGAATTATGCACCCATGTTCATACCAGCATTATTTGTAATAGCCAAAAGGTGGAAACAACCCAAATGTTCATCAGCAGATAAATGGATTAATAAAATGTGATATATTCATATAGTGGAATATCATTCATCCTTAAAAAAAAAAAAGAAATCCAGTCATGTTACAACATGGATGAACCTTGAGGACATTACATTATGTCATGTGACTTAAGCCAGTCACAAAAGGACAAGTACTATATGATCCCACTTATATCAGGTACCTAAAGTAGTCAAATTCATAGAGATTGAGAGTAGAATGGTCAAGGGACTAGAGGTGAGGGAGAATGGAAGAGTTATTGGCTCCTGGGTATAGAGTTTCCGTTTGGAAAGATGAAAAATAGCTCTGGACATGGATGGTGGTGAGGGTTGCACAAAATGCAAGTATACTTAATGCCATTGAGCTGTGCACTGAAAAATGGTTAAAATGGTAAATTTTATGTTAAGTGTATTTTACCACAGTTTTCAAAAAGGGAGAAAAGATTTTTAAAATTTAAGGAATCAAGAAATAACTTGCACATCCTTTGTCATCCCCTCAGGGCTTTATTCTTGGTAGTTGAATCTCCTCTTGAACCTGTGAGAAGATATTTTGGGGCAGGAGGCTTTTCTTGGGCAACAAAATGGTTCATATTGGCAACTGTACTTACAGGTAGTGCTGTCGCTGTGTGTGTTTTTTAAAATTTTTTTTAAAGATTTTTATTAAAAAACCTAGCTAACATACAACATTATATCAGTTTCAGGAGCACACCATAGTTGTTCAACCTTTATACCTAAAGAGGTGATTACCATGATAAGTCCAGCAACCATCTGACACTGTACCATGCTATCACAATATTATTGACTATATTCCCCATACTGTACATTTCATCCTCATGACTTATTTGTTTTATACCTGGACCTTTGAACCTCTTATTCTCCTCCAACTTTCCCCCCCTTAATTTTTCAATTACAGTTAACATTCAATATTATTTTACATTAATTTCAGGTGTACGGCATTTGTGTATTTTTTTTTTTAGCTGAGGCATCCTGCCACCTGTTGGCAGCTCAGTGGCTGCTCAGCTTGGGCTGGGACTCGAACCACTGTCGCTCAGAGCTTGCACTCTTGAATGAGCTCTTAACCAACTATTTGTGTATTTTTCAATGTGTATTCTTTCGTTCTATTTAAAACCATAGACATATTAGGAGCATTTTTCTTAGTTATCCCACCAAATATTAGCAGGCCATTCTTAAATAATAACAGGATAGAAACAACAACAGCTCACATTTACACTTCCTTTATCATAGTCTGTAAGGCACTGTATTAGTTTGGGCCCAGTAAGGAAATTGAAACCACAATGTAGGTTAAACAGGGGATGTTTAATATAAATAATTATTAGACTTGGGCTGGCGGAGGAGCACATTGGTTAAGAGCTGGCTTGGACCAATTGAACAGCAGGACCCCGGTTCGAATCCCACATTAGGGTCAGTGACGCTGCGCCCTCTACAGCTAAGATGGTGAACAACAGCTCGACCTGGAGCTGGGCTGCTGTGAGTTGCCGGTGACGGCATAGGCTGCAGTGGGCTGCCGTGAACTACCGTGAGTGGCTGGCAGCCAGCGT